GACCGAAGGTCGAGATCCGTCGAGCGAGTCCGTCCACTTTTGGGATCAAACAAATCCCCTCTCCGATATGGATTTACTTCGTAATTAGCGAAGCTCCAAGAGCGGTTCCAAAGAAATACTGCAGTTGCACGAGATCATTACACTTAGGCTGCAGATATTCATCTTCTCTTTTTGGGGGGACGTGCGTGCTTCCTCTGACTCGGGGTTGTCAAGTCGAGGACGCATTGAGACGTGGCGAGGGTTGGTAACAAAAGCGTGTTAGTTCAGCTGCTTAGCATGGCACAAAATCAACAAGGCCTCCGTTCAATGTGCCAATGACAACTCTGGCGGCTCCACCTGAAGTGAAATTTTTCCAAGCATGAAACTGCAAATCCGGCTTATCGAGCTCAGCATGGAGGGAAGCAGGAAGCTCAAGTGTATCTTGCAACATATTTTGTACATCCCAGGTCCAAGCTCGTGAAAAGAATTTTTGATCACTCAGGAATCTCTGGACGAAACATATATCTTCCTTTTCCATAGAGGACCGTTGGAAGGCGAAGAAACCGTACTGAAAACTTGGACAGGAAGAAACAGGCTTTATTTATCTTTCATCAACACGAAGTAAAAATCTAGCGAAAGGGATGGGAAGACAAGACCCATGGCTTGATCCATCCATCAATCAATTGGCGGTTGTGGGCCGACCGACATTTGGCCGTGCCACTGTAGAGGATGTTCGAGGATGAAAGCAAAGGTTTCCGTTGTGTCGACAGAAGGAACATGGGCAGCCTTAAACCCTTAAACCGGTCAAGCCAGGACAGAAGTGCAAGGGCTTCATCCATCCATGGAGTCAGTCAGACAGACAGACAGCGAGCCAGCCAGCCAGCCAGGAAGGAAGGGGCGGTTCGTTCTTGATTGATTGATTGATATGACTGGTATTGTACTGTACTGTACTGTGTGAATCGATTTGGAAAGGAAGGGGGTGAAGGCAAAGAAGCATCCACAACGATTCCACATGATCGAAGTCGAACTAATTGCGATTTATTAAACTCGAGAGCGATTGATACCTCCTACCACCGCCTCCACTCAAAAGCTGTACCGCCTTCTGCTGCGCCCACTCTCCCCCCGATAAGCGGACAGCAAGACAGACAGATGGGTCATTCCACCCCTCCCACTCACGAACCACCGCACGGACTCTCCCCCGCCCTGCCCCGCTCTGCCCTGCCTTCGACTCCTTTGTCTTATTAGATACAGGTTAATAGATTTCGAGTGGATACCGAACTCATGGGCCTTCCACGGTTTCCTTGATCCGAACCTCGCGTCTGCTGCCGACGACTACTTCCGCGTGATGAGCCCTCTACGAACTGCGTTGAAGTTTGAACCTCGTTGCATGATGCTCGCATGGTAAGTTGAACGGAGTAGTTTAGGCGAGAGTACAGTGAACTTTTACCGGCTGCTTACGAGGACTTCGGCTTAGAATGAACCATAAATGCAAGACTATTTTTATTATCTTAACCCCCGTTGCTCACAACTGCCTCTACGTATCATTATGGATGTCATTAACAGTTCCCGTGTCACATAAAGGCTGATCAGAAAGACTGACCACGTCCATCTCTTAGTTTTCCAACGTGCTCCAATATTTTTGGGACATCCTCATGCTTTAAGAATACATACCTCAAAGTAGGACACGAAATTGGCTGCTGTCTAGTGTAATTATTCTTCGTGCGATGATACCAAATTGAGGCCATGTTTCCAACTTAGGGTAGATGGCGTATCTCCACACACCGACTGTTTAGATCTTGTAGTTATAGTGCAGCTGCTGTTCAGGCTTGAACTTAGGTTCACCTTTGATTCCTATACCATGCTGAAGTAACTGGACACTGACTCCGTTAGGTGTGTTGCTTGCACCAGAAGGATAAGTGTACGTCATGATCCGCCTGGCAGGAGTTGCTGCACTTAGTCGTTAACCCGTCCTTCGCCCAAAGGTCTTCCGCAGCAGAGCTGGCAAAAATGTCTGTCGTAAGAACTGGGAATAGTGTAAGAATATAGATGGAGCAGACAGAGACCAGCAGAGCTTAGTCTTTGAATTCGTATTCTCAACAACGGAATGAAAATTTGAAACTTGGTTGGTTGGCATATGCTGGCATGCGAGTACTTCTGAATTCTGGAAGAAATATAGGATAGAAAAGAATCTGCATTCTGGATACAAATGAGTTCACAGTACTCTAACGGACACAAACAGCACCTGTCTTGGCTTTATTGAGGCAGAGAACAAGTAGCCCAGCCCCTATTTGACTTACTTTGAAGTCAGTTACTTTGAGCCTGTGGAGTACTTTACTTCACCTCTGCTAACCACGTAACATTCAGGCCACTCATGTACCACTTGTACTCTATACAATTTGCCGATATTAGAAGTGTACAGTTCACTAGATTTCACTGAACTGGAAGCTTTTCGTGTGCCCAATCTACAAATCTTAATGTGAAGTTTCGACTGACAAGTTTGCGAATTCAGTGGACAGGTATCTTTTGCCCTCAGTTTTTTCGCATGTTAACGTATTTTCTCCATGTACAGTACAAGCATTTGCAGGTCATGAGATATGTCAAACATGACAAGTTCTATTCTTCCAGTATATTTGCGGTTCGACAATCTCCTGCTTTGGCCACATTGGAGGGTGAGATTTTACTGAGGGTGGACGCGTGTGTCTTACAATGGGTGAGAAGCACAAAGTTTGATGACACTCACGTGGGGATGAATATATCTATGACGTAACCCTTGTTCACCTAATGTGATCAAGACGTGGAGTTAAGGACGTCCACTTTCAAGTTGAATATTTCTCCTTTGAGTCCACTTTTTCTCTTGTGCGCACTTTAGCTGAATATTTATCTATGTACATGGTCTTTCGGCAGGCTTATACCTACCTGGGAAACACTTAGTATGTTCATTAATTTTTTTAACATTATAATTAGACCGGTATCGTATTAGAGCTGATATCCTTGTAATGAGCCTTTCTCTCCTTATATTTGGCCAAAGGCTTATCGGGGGTTTACCCTTAAATCTCACCTTGCTTCTTGTGAAATACCTAGACCTTCAACATGATTCTACGCAAAGGAGTAGAGCAAACTGAAAGTTCTGTATGCTGTATGAGGGCTTGGTAATAAAACAGCATGCCAAATCAGGTATAGACGGGTGGATATTGCCGGAAACGATAACATTTGCTTGGAAGTTAGGTTCAGTCATGTTTTATATTCAATGTTCCCTGAATAGATAGAAGCTGGCTGGCGAAATCTATCCTTTGCAACTGATGTTCGTTGTAGTATAAGCAACGGCCATAACTTTTCAGACGTAGTGGTTCGTAGTGTATCCAAAGGCAAGCATACAAATATTTGGAAACTACAATTCTGGGTGTGGTGCAAGCTAACGACATAAGAACATATTTTGGGTAATAAGCCCAAAAGTCTTGAGGAAGTTGTGAACTCAAAGGATCTAGTTGCAAATATATAGGAATAATGCGGTGATTTGTATGAACAGCTGCCAACCCATCTTACGCATTTGTTTCATCCATGCACTTCTTGATAGGGTCCTCCCATGCTTTTTGCCACATTACTTGTTGACCACAAATATGACCACAAGTTGAGAACTTCTCTTTGAGCCAGTGAAATCAAAAGTTATTCCGTCTTTTGAAATGTCAAGCGAGGAGATGCTTCCTTTGTAGAAAGTTCCGGTGAAGAGGAAGAGCCGCAGCCTTAGCAAGGACACACAAATCAAACGTCCGTTTTATGTACCACCAAAGAAACGGAGGGCATGCAATTCCATCGGACCGTGCAACTTCCTCCGCGACGCTGAAACGTTCTCTCTGTTAGCGGACGGCTTATCCGTAACTGACGGTGGGCATATGAAGCCAAGATTGCTGTCTACGAAGCGAAGAGAAGGAAAGAGAAGATAAGTTTTTTCCATCTCATGGAAATTACGTCATTTTTAGAAGTCAAACGATCCTCCGTCGAAAAGGAACCAAAATCATTACGACAGAGAAACATTCAATTGCATGGAGCATTATTCTACAAGAACGTGACCCCGGAGCCATAGGCTGATTGGCGATGGTCATTACTCCTTACAAGAACATGCCGCCAATAATATTTACCGCCCTTGATGGAGCACTCAAAATACAAGAACATCCTTTGCATGTGCTTGCCTCCTCCTTCGTTCCTTCCTTCCATGCTTCCTTCGTCCAATCAATCACTTTCTCCTTTAGCTTTCCGTCATGTATTCATGCCGAAAAACAATGCAGCAGCCAAACGCATATCTCTATATAATTGATCACTTTATTGACCGCTGGGATCTCCTCCAAATTAGATGCCTTGTAAGAACACGAGAACTCGAGACGTGCGTCATTTTTTTGTTTCTTCCCGTCATTCGGGTCGAGGATCACAATACCCGTTTACCCCGATGTCTTTCGGAGAAAATTTCGGTTTTACCAGCGCGGTCACCTGCGGGTGAGGGCTGCGGGCCTATGTACTATTCACAACATTTTGAATACATAGGGCTTCTGCAAACATGTTGGCGAAGTTATATCCGTAAACAGGGGAAACGGAGCTAGTTACTATTTGGAAATATTTGAACCCATGTACCCCGAAAATAAAGGTGTTTTTGCGCACGGGTTGCTTGCCAGTAAGTACGGAATGAATAGAGAGAGGGCAAACGAAAGGCGAGGCAAGGCGAGGCGAGGCGGGACTGACTGGATGCAGCCAGCGGCGCTGGACTGGCCATGCCCGTTAAGGCCCCCGGTCAGGAATAGACCGCGGAAATACCCGTTAGCGGAAGGGCAGGCGCGGCGGGGAGGGGAGGGGAGGCGCGGGAAGGACAGGCACAGGTTCGGGCCAAGGGACGTGGGGAGAACAGCAAAGGCTGCCGATGGCTCCTTCCGGCACACAGGCAGACTGTGGATTAGTCTGAACGTTGTCGTTTAGAGGCCCTATTGGAGGAATATTTACGTATTATTAGACGCGAACGTTTCCCCAATCTGACGCTTTCTCTGCAAAGGGAAGTGCTTTTGAAGGTCGCTCACGGACGGGACTGCGATGAGTGTGTGAATGAGTGACGAGTCGACGACGCTCCTCCACCCGCTCCCCGCTTCCGCCTCCTATTCCTTCCCTTGCCTTCTTCTTCTGCTTCTTCTTCCCTCTACGTCCTCCTCCTCCTCCTCCCCTCCCTTCCCCTCTCTACATTCCATTAGTTCTCGTCGCCTCGTCATGTGATTGTTCCCACGAGGAGCGGGAGAGATTGAGAGGTCTCGAGCCGCCCCATTGCATTACATTGCCTGTCAGCTCTCGCTCAGATTAGCAGTCGCACTCGTCTGTGCATCGAAGTTCGAGAGTCAGGGAGAGAGCAGAGTTAGAGGGAAGTGTGAGAGAGGAGCGGAGTCGGTGCCGGATTGATTCATCTGATCCTTCTACAAGAGAAAGACTACAAAGTCGAAGTCGCGGAGAGGAAGCAGCTTGCAGGGATCGAAGGAGCAAGCAGGGATGGCGGCGCCAAATCCCGCCGCGGCGGCTGCCCCGAAGGCGGAGCCCGCACCACCCTTGCACCACGATATTATGGAACAGATGCCCGGGCTGCGCTACTGCATTCACGACAATCCTGACTTGCGTATGTTTCTCTCTCTGCTGGATGAGTGCGTTTGCTGATGTTTCAGGTTTAGCATTCGACTGAGTGAGTCTGTGAGTTCTGTTGGAGCTGATCGCCTCGACGCGCCTTCGTACGTGCCGGAAGGCAGGGCAGATCATGACCTGCTAGCTTGGTCTAGTCGGCAGGACTGTCGTTTGCACTTCTGTGCACTAGATATTTTGATTGATTTCTTATTATCCTATTGAAGTTAAATTTTCGGCCGCCTTTGTCAAATGTCGTACTTACAGGCAAGTCGTGAGTCTCGACCCTAAGTTGCGTCTGTAGTTGTAGAGTTAGTCCTTTTCTGCTTCCGCCACCATCCTGTCTTGTGTCAATATCCCATGGACGTAGGATGAAATGCACGATATAGTGTAGCCCTCATTGGCCTGTGCATTTGAAAGGAACAATGGAGGCCGCTATCTTCATACTGTCGTGACCTCATTCACGAGCCCTACGTATGCTGATCACGAGTGTTAGCTTTCGAAGCCGAGAGCTTACGAAGACCAGGTCTTGCATATGTTTTCTGTCGCTATCCAGAAGTCACACCGTGGGTTCGCCCACTTAAGGTCGCTGTTCAGTGCAATTATGCAGCTATGCACTAGCAGGTGATAGTGAACGATTTGTAGTCTAACAGCACTGCACTGTTCTGTTTTGTCTACTTCTGATCCTCATTCTTTTTCAACTCGTGCAGCGGAAGCTATTATACTCGGTTTCCAGCACTATATCATCAACCTTGGCACGATTGTGCTATTTACCAACCTGATTGTTCCGCTGATGGGTGGAAATGACGTGAGTGCTCTATTACATTTGGAACCTCCCACACGTGATACTGTGCCTTTGCATCTTCGTTTCGTACTGATAGGGGCTTCATTCGTTCACCTTGGTTTTTAGTGTGTTCTCAACAGCATCGTAAACTACACTGTCTCAGGGTGACAAAGCAAGGGTTATCCAAACGATTCTTTTCGTATCGGGATTGAACACATTTCTTCAAACGACGGTTGGAAGTCGTCTTCCTGTCGTCATCGGAGTGTCTTTCTCCTACATCGTGCCAATTCTGACCATCATCAACACTCCTCGTCTGCAACGCATCAACGATGATCATGAAGTAAGTTTTTGTGTTCTCGTTTGTTGACAGGTTTGTTATCACTGTAGCCTACCGGACGACAGTCGCACGTGTATGTTCACTTCCTTGAATTAATTAAAGAATCTACTGCATGCACAGGATTGATCTGATAGATGCCAATTTGTGAAAGAGTGAAAGAGCTCCAATTCATTCTGCAAGAATGCCGTGCATAGTCATGCATTACCCAAGCGAGTGTTTTTCTACGTTTCATTCTCCTGAACGGTGACAGCTCCGTTTTTCCGCCGACATCGGCGATTTTTTAAGAACCCCATCTCAGCACAGGCACAGGCTTTACGCTGCCGTTGCTGAAGCTCTATTCCTACTGTTCCTCCTTGTGTATATATCCTTTTGAAATGTCCATATTAATTGAGATATCGACTTTCTGTGTGCCCTTTTTACGCGTCTTCTCTCCAAGATTGTTACGTCTCAATCAGCAGTCATTGCATTCATTCTCGTGTACGTAGAGGCTCCACTTGATCCATCTGAGTTGGACTTGGTTCCAAGCGGCTCCTTCCGGTGAGTCCAAGCCGACCCGAGGATCACCGCAGGCTGGCGAATTGAACGTGGATGAGTTGTAATCTAATGAAATTTGATCGGTATGTGTTTTGTGCAGAGATTCGAGCATACCATGCGTGCAATCCAAGGAGCCCTAATTGCTGGATCAAGTCTCCAGATTATCCTTGGATTCAGCGGCTTGTGGGGAATCTTCACGCGGTATGTTAGCCTTGCTTGCAGTTTAGCTCAGGTGCAGGCTTGAAGGCTTCGTTGTCCTTTTTTCGTTACTTACATTCCCGTCACAGCTGTAAGAATTCTGTCATTGCACATCCTGTCTCACTTGCTTCGAACATCGACGATGCAGATTCTTGAGTCCTATCGCCATAGCCCCCACAATTGCGATGACCGCTCTCGGGCTATACGAATATGGTTTTCCGCAGGTAGATGTCTATCACTTTCGAAGTCCATTTTCCGAGCCGGTCTGTGGGAGCCGAACTTCTTGTTCCAAAACAGTATCAGCGCTGGTTTTACCTGCCGTCCCTTGTGAATTACTGACAATGGTGAATCAACTGTCCTGGATTGGTACAATTAGGTTGGAAAGTGTGTGGAGATCGGCATCCCCACCATCATTCTTGCGCTGGTATTTTCACAGTACTTGTGGCATGTTCGAGTCAAAGTGAAAAAGCACTTCCATGTGTTCGAATTGTTCCCTGTGCTGATTACGCTAGTTATCGTCTGGGGTTACGCCTACATCCTTACTGTCAGTGGAGCTTACGACAACGCCAGCGTCGGTGGTCAAAGAAACTGTCGTACTGACAGAGCAAACATTATTGGTAGTGCTCCCTGGTAAGTCTGGTTGTGCCACGAGAATTGGAACCCATTGGACAATGATATCTGTCAGTACCAAAGATTGATGAGCCAGCATGATCTTGTCCTTGTTTGCTTATGTATCTACCGTGGATGACATTTCAGGATCAGATTTTCTTATCCACTTGAATGGGGTGCACCTACATTCGATGCCGGTCACGCTTTCGGCATCATGTCCGCCGTCTTTGCGTCCACCGTCGAGGTACTGTATATTTTGCAATATTTCCGGACTTCCGACCATCTGGAAGAACTGTTAGTGCTCTCCCATTATCTGTCATTTGCTGACTGATCATAGTTGTCTCATGTACTATCGACTGTCCCAATGCGATGATGTCGTTGGTCAGTTCCTTTGTGGTCGTCAGCTTCTTGCTGTGAAGACGCTTTGTCCTGATCGGGGTATTTCGCACATTCCCAGTCAACTGCAGGATTCTACGCCGCGTATCGCCTGTCTGGAGCTACTCCTCCACCCCCGTATGTTATCTCGCGTGGAATCGGATGGGGGGTAAGTGGCCAATATACCGCTGTCTCTCGTTCTTCGTGGTGTCATTTTTCTCGCCGTAGATGTGGGCTTCGATCCTCACTTTCTTAGTCTACGATTTTGAGCTTTTTCCGTTCACTGATAACTATTTCATGTGTTTGTTCACCTATACTGACCTTGGGTTGAAGAATTCGAACGAAGTACTTAAAAGCTCTTCCTTCGATTCTTCAGGGAATCGCGATTCTTCTAAGCGGTATTTTCGGCACAGCGGCTGGAGCGACAGTTTCACCGTAAGAGCACAAATTCCGCCACCAGCTGAATTGCCGCATTCCGTATCCTGTTTTTTTCTGAAATTAATTTCTGGTTGAGAGGAAACATTTTCTGTGTGTTGATTTGTGTATGTATGTTGATTACTCTAATTTCGTTATTTCGCTGTTTCAGTGAGAACATTGGACTCATAGGAATTACAAGGGTCGGGAGTCGACGTGTCATCCAAATCTCAGCAGCGTGGATGGCCTTCTTCAGCTTATTTGGTAAGCTAACTCTGGAGCCTTGACGTAATTGTTGGAGAAAATCAAAGTATCCTCACAACGTCACCAGTTTGAGGCACGAAAAAACGAAAGGCGAAAGATGTGACATTTGTTCTCTGTGTCCAGGCAAATTTGGAGGTTTGTTCGCGTCCATTCCGGTTTCCCTGTTTGCGGGATTCTTCACCATTCTCTTCGGAATTGTTGGTGAGTATTTCTGTATGCCATTCGTATCATGTGATGTCCACGATTCATGGAAAAAAAGAAGTCTAATTGACTGCATTGAGTCGTGCCTCCTTTTCATTCAAGGGAATGACCTCAACGCGTGAATCTCCTGTATACAGCTGCTGTCGGTATCTCTTCGCTGCACTTCGTCAACTTAAACAAAACGCGAAATCTCTTCATCGTTGGCTTCGCTTTGTACATGGGACTGTCGGTGCCATTCTATTTCTATCAGTACAGACAAGCCGCAGGATACGGACCAGTACACACCAATGCACGCTGGGTATGTATTTGAATTCTTCATATTTCATTTTGTGTGTAGTTTGAAGCAGCTAGTGACGCTTTGAAACATTTACGAACTAAAAATATTCTTGTTTCCTACAGTTCAACGACATTATCAATGTGTTCTTCTCTTCAAATGCCGTGGTGGCTTTATTGATCGCGGCTTTTCTGGACAACACTATGAAATCCAAGCAGATCAGTGACAAGGATCGGGGCATGCACTGGTTTATGAAGTTTCACGATTTCTCGAAGGACTCGCGAAACGAAGAGTTCTACAAGCTTCCGTACATGCTCCACAAATACTTCCCACCTGCCTAGAGGACTGGCTGAACAAGACCTAGTTCTGTTCATAGAGTGGCAGTTTTTCGATTGTATCTTTGCTAGCTGATTACCTTAGTCTCATTCTGTTTCTCCTCCGCTGGCCCTTCTTTTACAAGTAATTTTTTTGAGGGCATCAGCTTTCCATGTCGATCATTTGTGAAGTCAGAGCACATGCCTAGGCCTTGCAAGGTTCCATCGGGGAGGAACAGAAAACACCCACCATGTACTGTCTCTCTCCAATGGGTAAGAACATTCATAGTATAGAGGCGACTTAGTTAGTTGCTTCCTTTTGACTTAGTTACTTCCCCTTCATCCCTTTGGCACTCAAACGGCAAACTGAGAATCCTAATTAGCTCACCATCACGATACAATAATGCTAGCTGAGCTTTGCGATGATGCCTTGTAGTATTTTTACCCTTCCAGTAGGAAATTCAGCCATTCAATGTCTTTGTCGGAACGTTCTGTAGAATCCTCGCAACAATTGTTAAAAATTTATGAGTCCCATCTTCGCTTGAATTTGAGTTCTTGAAAGGAAGGTGCCATCATAGGTTGCAATGTGTCCTGTTAGCATTGTGGCTTACCCATGCAGAGCCGTAGATCATAGGAAGTTGGCTTGTTGCGAAGAGTTTGATTTGCTAATAAGCGGATCAGTTGTGTAAATGTCGGGTAAGTTTGTGAGAGCCTGCACGGGAGGTGAGAGGTACCGCGTGAGGCAATTTATCCATTACATCCAATTTGTAAGGTCGACCTGGTAATTTATATAATTGGCCAGACCATGAGGTTTTAATTTGTCTCTCCGTTTGTTCTGTTATATTTTCAGCAAGCAGAGTATCTTAGGTGTCTCTGTAAGAAGGCAGAGGTCTACAGTAGAATAGTCTGTTAGACGAGGCCCTCTCTTCAAATTGAAGCCTATTCTATTTCTCTCTAACATGTCTTCCGTCTATATTAATCTTGACTTGGATCTATGTTTATTCTGGATCTTCATACATGAAATGAAGTGAAGACGCGTCATATTTAAAACGCAAAGAACTCGTTGGCTGCACGTATCCTGAAGCTTTTAGTGCTTGTACACTCCGAGCCAAGTGGCCTAAGCGGCGAGTGTTTAAAGACGAGCACTACAGTCTTTTAGGAACACAGCGGAACTGAGTGTGCGTGTAATGTATACAAAATCAGATTCCTACTAGAGTTAATGTAGACCAGGAATGTAGAATCAGGAAATTAGTATAAAATCCCTTTCTTGCAAGAAAGGCGGAAGAGAAATTAGGACATAAAATAGGCACACGCGTGAAGGAAACTCCTGCGGGCAGTATAATTTCTACATAATTACGGTGTGGATTTTTATTACGTGTGTAATGTAGCTGTACATCGGAGGATGACGATCGCAAGCGGCGTTATATTATATACGTTACTACGATATCTACGATTTCACCTATGATACAGCTAAACTGTGTACGTACGAAGTTTCTCTATGACTTACAACAAAGAGTAACGTGTTTTATATACCTTGTAGATATGTTGTTGGCAATTCCACATTAGGTGTACATGATTGACTAGCAACAAACCTATGTGAATGTTGCCGGGTACACATCATTAACTTCTGGCGTTGTTTTGCAGACCTTGGGTACACGCCCTTGATCGTTTCTCTACCAACTGATAAGACGTGACGGCGTGTATTAAAAGCTCTAGCCTCACCGGATCCAGGGAGAGCTTGTGGTTCTGGTTACGTATATGTTTCAGCAGTCGGCACATGTTATAAAAATCGGTCCATCGATGCAACATTGGAAGCATACATTGTCCCTCATAGCTTTCTACGTCCACATAGAAGGTGGACGAGGTTGTAACCACTGACTTTAGAGGTGTGGTGCATGAGATGGAAACCCAAGTAGTCTACTTTCATCCAGCACGTAGCATCTGGCATATAGAGGAGAATATGTCCGACAGTAGTGTGGGACATTGGATTTCTGCGGTGATGCATTTTTTAAAAAGATTTAGTTTTATAGTCCTCGTGGATAGAATCCATTTCACCTTGTAGTGTTAAATTCAGATTCAAAGTGTTAATTGAGATAGATCTTATACTCAATTGAATGTATTTTGTCGCAACTGTAAGAACCAGTGTTATGGTTAATGTTAGTCCATGCTTACTAAATTCGGCCAGACCACCTTCAGAGTACAAACTGAGTACTGTCATGGGAACGGTCAGTTGATACGATGCACTGCCGTTACACATAGCCATTATATCTCCGATGCGTCTGTGTGGTCTACATCAACTCGTGTTGAAATCAAAGAGGTACATAGGTTGAAAACGTAGCTAGACAGTGTTGACACCGTTGTCAAATTTTGTATCACGTATGTGTCAAGTCTAGCCTGGTTATCAAAAGGGTAGAAGGATTTGTACAACCATCTTGCATGAAATTCTGCTGTTAAAGAATTAGATTTGAACAAATTAGACCAGTTGAAGAGGCGAAAGATAGAAGTAAATCTTCTTGTAGAAACTATTCATCTCTTCATCATTATTCACTAGGATGAAAAATCTGCATGACAAATATATGTTGGAACTGATAGATCTATCATGTAACAGATTAAGTTTATGGATTGTTTTCTCTGCGATGGACAATCAGTCGAATCATACACTGTAGACCTAAAATGAAATTGTTCTAAGTTTCATGCAGAGCTTATCATGCAAATGACAAATTAAGATGGATTAGAGTCAAATGAATCTTAAGTGTTCCTTGCCGTTGATGGAAATCGAAAACATTGTAGAAAATTTTCAATGATTTGAAAACTTCAAATAAATTTCTTCAAATCTAGAAACCTTTTGCAAAAAATGTAACTTATGATTCAAAGATCAAATATTTGAAACAATTTTTAATTTGTAATTCATAATCTTGTATGATTATGACCTCCAATTTTAGGTATTAATCACATTTTCTGTCATTGTACTGTTCTCAAGTAGAGTTTTTACTTTCATTGGTAAATTGAAATGAAATATATGGAAAAAATTAATGAATTTCTACGTTCATGTTTAACTTTGAATCATAATTGTAGCAAATGAAGGTGCCTAATTATTTCAATACATTGCAATGTGAACAAGATTAAAAAGTTATATTTATGGATCTTTAATGTTTTTGAATGTTTCCTTGGTTGATTTTAAGAATTTTTTTTAAGTTTTTGAATGCAATATATATTATGTCATAAATTATAATATAATTTTTTTGATTTTAGTGGAGTTTTTTGAAATTCTTAAATTTTTTTTATGGCATTTTTGAATAAATCATTTGTGTATAACATATATAATATATATATCAAATTTTTTTATTTCAAACTCAATCAATCAAATTTCAAATTTACATTGATCAATTGCAAATGTTGTGTGATTAAATTTTCAAATATGAAAATTTTAATTGATAATATTTTGATTTGTTGAAAATTTGACAATTAAAATTACATGGCACAATTTTAGTCTTGATAACTTGAATAATATCATTATGATGATAGGTTCAAAACTAGCTATATTCAATTTTTTTTAAATTGTTGATATCATTGAATGATTTTGAAAGACTTAAAGCTTGAAATATTTTTTATAATACACAACATGGGATAGTTATCGTATATAACAAAAAATATCTTTTTTTAATAGTTTCACTAATTATTTGGCTATTTTTACATGCTTTATATAAATCTTATGTCAAATAATATTATATATTTTTTTACATATTAAATGCGAAGTGATTATATTGAAGTTCTTTTGTACATTCAAAGTAGTTTTTTAGGATAAAAATTATATTGCACGTTTTGTAAAAAACTTTAATATTACTATTTATTTTTTAAATTTTGAAAATTACATTTTAAAAAATAAAAACACAATTTTTTGACTAGATTTACAAATTTTTTTATATAAAAATTCTTATGATGTGATTTTTAAAAATGATTCAAAATGCTAAAATTATTTGAATTCATTTGAAAATTTATGATCAAATTATACTAGATAGATATATGCATTAAGAATTTAGTAATTTGCATTCAAATATAGTTAAGTACGTTTAAACTCAATTCAAATACGAAGTATTTTAAAATGTGGAGTTTAGTAATTTCACTGCTTTAATTTTTTTTCTTAATCAAATGTTGACATATAAACTTTCAAGGAGTGTAATGTAGACATTAACTAAAAGACTAAATTAATTTTTTAGAAGCCTAAATTAGCCTAAATTAAAAATTTAATAAAGTCTATATTAGTCTCAATTAATTTTTTCAAGGAGACAAAATTAAACGTATTTAGGTTATTTAGGCGAGTGACTATTATAACCATCTCTGATCATACACTATGAATACATGATTTAACACATTATTGAAAATTTTTGATAGAAGAAGTAAGTGAACATGGTTTGATTTGTATTCAGAATCACATAAAAATTTTCAGAACTTTACTCATAAATTTCAAAATATATTTCAAATTCAATCATATAATGTATGAAATTTTAACATCAAAATTCTAGTATTATATTTTTGAATTAAAAAATACTATGATAATTAGTAATTATAATTTTGGAAGGAAAATCATTTTTTTTTCAAAATTTCTTCTTTTTGTTATATAAAATAAAATCTTATCTAAATATCAAAAAAATTGGATTTTTTAAAAATAGATTTTGCTACATATTGATTTGTGTTTATTTTTAAAAATATTTAAACATAAATACATAGAACAAAATGACCACAAAGTACATAACGTAGCTTAACAAATTACTAATGCAGAGAAGAAAACACAATTATATAATTTCAAACTTTTATATTGTATGAATAAAAGCTTCATTAAGCTTTTTCATATAAAAAATTATAACCTATTTTAAAACAATAAAAATAAATTGAATAGAGATTATCAATAAATAAATTAAAATATCATTTTTCTAGATCTTGATTCATTTATTTCAAGAATTTTTTAACAAATTATTAATTTTAAATTTTTTTGGAAAAAAACTTACATAGATATTATGAAAACCAAATATGCAAAAATATACTTAAATAAATCATTGCAAAAATCTGATGAGGTATAATTTTAAATATTGATTATACAATTTTTTCCATTATAATTTTAATTTTGATGCAAAATCTGCAAGTAGCGTATTTCATACGTCTAAAAAGTAATTATTTTGGTATTCTATCAATTATATTGTATTTTTTATTTATCTTGAATAAGTTAAATTTTTTTACAAATATTTCTTATGATAATTTCTATTATATATTTAATTCATTGTGCTATTCATCAATTGGTTTATTGCAAGATGTGATAAAATTTCATCATCATAGTGAATATTCACAACCTCATCATTCAAATTCATTTTGGCCACAAATATGTGAATCAAATAACACTTTGTTTTTACTGCAGTTACTTATGAAACTTTTGTATCTTTATAAGCTCTGCAGTTTTTCAAAGTTGATATTTCATTCAAAGTGTAATTAATTTTTTCAAATAAAAATATACAAGGTAGACATAAAAAATCAAACATACTAGTTTATTTGATTGCAAATGAAATATGCATCTTTGTCTTATTCAAATTTTTAATATATTTCTCAATTCTATGATTTCAATCCAAGGTTTTGCACCTTATAACATAATATTGCACCGCACAATTAATAAAATCTCCTCACTATTTGAAGTATTTTAATTGCATGCAATATTTATTGCAAACCTCAAATCAAACTTAATCCCATCATGTCATAAAATACAACAATTCTCTTTCTCCTAGCTTTATCAAATTTTTTTGGCCCAAATTTGGTTACAAGATAAAAAAATGATTATTAATTTACTTTACTGTTGTTTACTTCAATATACTTCGTGTAGCTAGCATAATATATCTCGTTATATAGACTTCGGTGTGATACTTTGCAAATCATAATTTTGCAGAATGTGATATTTTTGTCACATGCAAAATAATGATTTTCAAACTTATGATTCAACTATCGTTTAACGAATTTTGAATAATTCAACCTTTGCATTTTAATGCTTTTCCAACATAAAATCTTGTTCATTTAAATGATTATTACATTTATTGATGGAATTAGAGTAATATGTCCCTATACAATATAGTTGATTACTATGACA